GAGGGGTGGGGGGGTGGGGAGAGGGGTTAAGATACAGCATGGTGCCCCTTTGTTGCCTCCTGTATCGCGGCTAGGTATAAATGCCGAGCCGCACGATCAGACGTATGTACCACTGGATCAGGACAGGATCACAGCACTGTCGTCGTTACCCGAGACTGTGACCGATGACACTCTGTGGGACTTTTCTTGCTTTAGATCTGTTCTGTTTGTTGGCGCTGGCTTGACTCAAGACTGAAAGTTTTCTCTGCAGAGTGATTCTCTTATTCTACAATTGCGTATTTGTGTCCACTTCTAGAGCTGTTTGTTGGCACCGTCGATAGGGCCGTAAAATACCTACTCAATCAATCGGTCAATCATTTGTTGGCACCGGCTTGACTCTCCCAACTGAAAGTTTTCTCTACAGAGTGATTCTCTTATTCTACACACCTGCTTAGGGTTTTTTGTGTCTTTCTTTACAATTATTGCGTATATGTGTTTGCGATGGTGAATCGTAGGAATCTAGAACATAATTATACAGTATTATCGTCTTGTAACGAGGACTGAGAGAATTATAAGCTAAGACTTGCGTTTATTCGTGGGTTGTGGAGTGTGTCCATTGTACGTCACGTGCTCATCAAGTGACGTAATGTGATGTTGGTGTTCTTGGCCCGGAAACTTACATATCGCCGAATCTCTTGAAATCAGTTTCCTCGGATGTGAAAATATCATGAATGATTTCTGATTTACCTAAGGACCCATGATATGTTGATTTATCGCTTCTAAATATTAAGAAAGTACAAAAGGCAACCCGCCCGCCCCCTCTCGAAAAAGAACACATATTTTAAAAAAGGAAGAGAAACGAATGAGAGGAAAAGGAAGAAGGAAATATTGCTAGATAGAACAAACACAGCTGAACATCTTAAGTCTCGTCCATACCATGGTGTGTTAAAATCATTTAAAAACAACGTAAAAATATAAGAAAGAAAAAAGGGAAGAAATAAGTTTGTTCCCTCATACAATTAATTACAGTTGAAATTAACAAGAGGACCACCCATTGCCGAGGAGAGAAGTTGTAGTCTTTGACAGGTGGACGTTTTGAACAGTGCCTTTATAATAATTTTTTTTAAAGGCAAGGGGACAAGTGGAGAGCGGTTGTTTGTACAGGTGATTGTTTTGGACAGATAGTCGTTAGGGCAGATTCGACTGTAGTTCACGCACAGTGTAAGAAGCAACGTAAAAGTCATCATACAATATCCAGTTTTTCGTTCACACTTCCAGTGTTGGAAGCAACGAAAAACCCTTCAATTTCCAGTTTTGGACAATTTCCAGTGTTCGCCCCCCGCCCAGTGTTGGAAGCAGCGTAAAACCCATACAATTTCCAGTTTTTGAGTCACGGTCCTAGTGTTGGAAGCAACGAAAAATCGAAACAGTTTCCAGTTTTCGACAATTTCAAGTTTTTCGTCCCACACCCAGTGTTGGAAGCTACGAAAAAATCTGTACTGTTTCCAGTTTTGGACAATTTCCAGAGTTCGTCTCCCGCCCAGAGAAAGAGAGAGAGAGAGAGAGAGAGAGAGAGAGAGAGAGAGAGAGAGAGAGAGAGAAAGAGAGAGAGAGAGAGAGAAAGCCATGTTTCCCCACCATGGTTTATCCACCCGGCGGACTCGTCTCGCCTCAGCCTTGGCTCTGTACGCTCTGCTGACGCTGCACCTGGTGACCCCGGCTCTGTCGACCTGCCCGCCCCGCTCCTCCTGCCCCCTGTGCACACAGACTCGCGCCATCTGCAAGCTGTGCCCGAAGGACGCGTCCATCCCGGCCAGCGTGAAGGACTTGACCATCCTGCGGGGCGGCTGCCGGGCGCTGGACACCTCGGGTCTCCTCATGACCACGTCGCTGTCCCGCTACACCGACCTGGAGAAGCTCAATCTGAACAACGCCAATTTGATGCACTTCTTCGGCGCGGTCTTCGAGAAGAACACGAACCTGAAGACGCTGGCCATGGTCGGGAACAACATCCGGAGCTTCGACTCGAAGACGTTCCGCGGCCTCGGCAAACTGGAGGATCTGAACATGGCGCGGAGCAACATCAAACAGATGCTGGCGGCCTCTTTTTCCGAGCTCACCTCGCTCAAGTCTTTCAACCTGGCTGGGAATCTGATCTCGATGTTATCTCAGGGTGTTTTTAACGGGCTGGCCAATCTAGAGACGCTGTCCTTGACCTCTAACCCCGTCGCGAGCGTCGACTCTACCGTGTTTCAAGGTTTGGGGAAGCTCTCCTCTCTCCTGCTGAACGATATGAAACTGTCCACAGTGCCCAGTAAGCTGTTCTCCGGCCTGACGGCGCTGAAGGACCTTGACTTGTCCGGGAATGAGATCACGACGGTGGTCGCCGACTGCCTGGTGGGTACGTCCTTGGACACGCTTGACCTCTCGGACAACCTGCTGACCGCCTTCCCGTCTGCGGCGGTGCGCCGGGCGGCGGGGACTCCAGTGACCCTGAGCGTGGCGGGAAACAGAATCGGTCAGCTGTCCGCCGCCGACGTGTCCGGCCTCCAGATAGACAAGCTGGACCTGAGCGACAACCCGCTGGTCAGTGTGGCCTCGGGCGCTTTCCTGGGGTCAAAGGTCGGCTTGCTGGACCTGAGCAACACCAGCTTGAGCCGGTTGCCCGTGTCCATGGAGGCGGCGCTTGGGTCCGGCGCGGTGGGTGCCGTTCGGCTGGAGGAGAACCTGGAGTGGGCGTGCGAGTGTGGCGCTCTGTGGCTGGGCCGCTACCTCCTCTCCCACCCCGCCAGCTCTACGCCGTCGTGCGGGCCCGCCTCCTCTTCCTCCAAGTACGCCGGCCAGACTCTCACACACGCCATGCCGCAGCTGGAGGTGGACTGCCGAACCACCACCACCACAACCACAACAACAACTACCACAACGTCGACGACGACAACACCTACCACTACCACCACCACACCGACTACAACAACAACAACAACCACTACCACACCCACAACGCGTCCCACCACCACTACATCTACCAGAACGAGGACACAACCCACAACACCCACCACACCGACAACCAAACTCGCTATCAAAACCCTCCCCACCTTACGACCAAACCCTCCCGCACAGACACCCTCACAGCCGCCAAGCACCCCGGCTCCAGTCAGCGACAGCCGCACAACGCCCACCACCACGTCATCCTCGCCGTCGTCCAGCCCCACCACAGCCGTAGACCAGACGGTGAACGTGATCGTGGTGGTTCTGATAGTGCTCACCTCCCTGGCCCTGGCTCTGTCCCTCGTGGGTGTCATGGCCGGCTGCCTGACGTGTAAGAAAGGTGAAGGTCGCCCCCGGACCTCCCAGGTGTCGGACGTTCCCGGCAACAGCAAGTCTGTGTGGGGGATGGTCCTCACTGAGGGATGATGATGGTCCTCACTGAGGGATGATGATGGTTGGTCAGGGGACATACGGACT